GATTTCGTCGGAGCTGAAATTTTCATACGAAACAGTCTAAAATTATTTTTCGTTAGAAATCGTCATACCGCGAAAAAATATTTCCATAATTTTCCATGAAGTATACAGAAAGCAAAAATTTACCAAAAATTTACCAAAAATTTCGGAAAATTTCCTAATATTTCCCTCCACCCCCACGACTAACCTTAACGGGTGATTATGCAGCAGATGAGGACGGATATTCGCAACTCGATTGACCAGTTGCGCGAGATGGTAATCCGCTGAAAAAATATATTTTTTTTTCGCGCACCACGAAATTATTACATAAAGTATGCAGAGCATCAAGTATATCTTGGAAGCGAACCTAAGATACCAAAAGATACGTTTCTTGCCCACGGGAGAAGATTCAAAGTAGGTCCAGAACATAACCAACAAACAGCCGCTTTCCTCAGCTGAGCTCAGAAGTGTAAAGAAACCATCAAGAATTAACCAAATTTTCCTCCCAGAATCTGTGTACTGTCACCAACACTTGTAGTTGGAAATTTTCAAAATTTTCCCGAAAAAACACACATTGGAGTTTCACCCTAGTGATATTAAAAACATATTTCACTTCGGGGAAAACAACTGTTTTATCGGTCGCGAACACATATACGTCGGAAATTTACGCCACTTCACGTTAAACGGATGAAACTCTATTAAAATCACATATCTTACATCTCGACAATTACTTCTTCTCCCCTTGCTACAAACCGCATACCTTTTGAATTTTCGAATTTCGATTTTTTCCGATAAAATTACCCGAAATTTGCACATTTTTGAAAACGATGATTTTCACATCAACTTGAAGATTTTCTTCCAGTGTGAGAAAATGTGCACATGTGTTGATGACAATGCGAAAATTCTGAGAAATTTTTGGGAATTTTTTATTCGTTTCTGAGCTTTTCTATGCGAATTCTTATGTAAAATTGTTCAATTGCTGAGAAAACTCTCGAGCTCAGCTGAGGAGACTGAACATATACTCCAACAAAATTTTCACAGAAAAAAACAAAAATTTGCATTACCTTGTAAACTTCCTGTTCTGTCTCCCATTCGTACGGATCGGTTTCCCTGAAAAAATGCGTAAAAATGAAATTTTTATTTTTTAATGCATACCACTCCTCCATGAAATCATGTAAATCCTCATCTTCTAGTAATTCACCCACATCCGTCAGCCTGAGGAAAAATAAATTGGAGTTTCACCAGTTTCATGTGAAGTGGCGTAAAATTCCGGGAAAACGTGGTATTTTCGCTTAAAAATAGTCGTGAAATATTTTTTTCACTATTGTTTTCCATATCACTAGGGTGAAACTCCATTAATCATAATTTTTGCGAAAATTTTACTGCAGTTTCACCCTAGTGATATGAAAAACACTAGGGAAAAATATATTTCACGACTATTGCATATCGCAATTTTCCCCCCACGTAGAACGGGTTGTTATGAAACTCCAAAGTGCGAAAATTGTAGTTTCTAAAAAAAAATTTTCACTGCCCGAATAACGAAATTCTCACAAAAATTTAACTGCGCAAAAGTGAACGAAATTTTCAATTACAAAATGTGATGCTTTCAATAAACTCATTGTAATTCTAAAATTAACCATAAACTGTGGAGAAAATCGTCTCAAAAAATTAATCCCGATTTCGTAATTATTTACACGTTGAATAAACTAATCACGAATTTGCAATATGTAATTTTCAGCTATTCGTGAAAGCAAAAATCTAAGAAAAATGATTTTTCCCAACGTAAAATTTGGAAAAAAATTATGGTTATTACTCTTCACTGGTGGCGTCACCCGTAGAAGATCCATCGTAACCGAGATCATCTCTGACGCTGGTCATCGCATACAAGTTGTCGAAATTCTGAAAAAAAACGCTGTGAGATTTCACCCGTTTTACGAGAATGTGAAAAACGCGATATGAAATTAATTGGAAATTTCGCGTGAAAAACAGCAGGTGTTTTACGCGTTTTTCACTGCTCACATGCGTTTTTTTCGCAAGGTGAAATATGAAATGTGTTTCTCACTAATGTTTCATATGCGTTCGCTTTCCTCAGGGGTTTTCCAAGTAGAAGTGTACAGAAACCAACGAGAATTTCCTCCCAAAATTCGTTTAATAAAGCGTCTTTTGGTATGCACTCTCTTCTAGTGAGCAGGTAATAATAAATATGTTGATGAGTTCACGTAGTGTTGGAGTATGAATATATGTTCGCTTTCCTCATCACCTGAGCTCAGGAGTTTCCAAAGCTACATTATGAAAATTTACACACAACGTGAAGTGGCGTCGTAAAACTCGGTGAAAAACTAGGCGATATTCGCGGTGATATGCAGTAGTCGTGAAATATGTTTTTCGTTAGTGTTTTTCATATCACTAGGGTGGTGAAAATCCAATATAAACAACAATAATAATTTCTCAAATTTTCCTCAAAATTTTCATATTATCATCACCAACACATGTAGTTGACCGTATGCATACTCCCCCTCAAATTCCCGAGCTGATATGTGTTATACTTTATCGTGCAAATCAGTTTTCATATCAATGGTTTCATTCAAGTTGTTGTCATCTCGATCAGCAGCAGCAACAGCAACCGCCGGAGTCGTCACCGACACTTCATCGTCGCGATTATCAAAGGAAGAATCGTCGCCCAGACAAGCGGCTAGTCTCCTATGGCAAAGGACGCCGGTTCGATCCCCGCAAGCGACTTATATTGATTACTTCTCGGAAATAACATCGTTGATATTTTTAATCGCCGCATTCACTGAGAGTATGTCCAAAGTGACGAAGCTTTCATCGGGAACATTTTGGAGAGCGGTCGCGCACTCCTGAAAAAAAAACAAAATCAGCAGTGTGGGTGAAAATTTGGGAAATTATAGTTGTTGTTTATATTGGAGTTTCACCACCCTAGTGATATGAAAGCATATTTCATGACTACTGCATATCACCGCGAGTATCGCCTAGGTTTCACCGAGTTTTACGACGCCACTTCACGTTGTGTGTAAATTTTCATAATGTAGCTTTGGAAACTCCTGAGCTCAGGTGATGAGGAAAGCGAACATATATTCATACTCCGACACTGTATAGGAAACTCCTGAGCTCAGCTGGTGAGGAAAGCGATTACATATATTCATACTCCAACACTGTATAGGAAACTCCTGAGCTCAGCTGGTGAGGAAAGCGAACATATATTCATACTCCAACACTGTATAGGAAACTCCTGAGCTCAGCTGCTGAGGAAAGCGAACATATATTCATACTCCAACACTGTATAGGAAACTCCTGAGCTCAGCTGGTGAGGAAAGCGAACATATATTCATACTCCAACACAGTATAGGAAACTCCTGAGCTCAGCTGGTGAGGAAAGCGAACATATATTCATACTCCAACACTGTATAGGAAACTCCTGAGCTCAGCTGATGAGGAAAGTGAACATATATTCATACTCCAACACTGTATAGGAAACTCCTGAGCTCAGCTGGTGAGGAAAGCGAACATATATTCATACTCCAACACTGTATAGGAAACTCCTGAGCTCAGCTGCTGAGGAAAGTGAACATATATTCATACTCCAACACTGATGCGAATCAACCAGTGTTGGAATATATGTTAGCTTTCGCTCAGCTCTAGAGTTTCCTAAGCTACGACTTTGAGTAGGAGTGTACGAAAATCGTCAGGAATTTTCGCATTGTCATCAACACATGTAGTTGACCATGTGCGTGTGCATTGAGATTACATGAATTTTGGTATTGAAATTTACCAAATTATTGTAAATTAATTCGCGAAAAGAACTTTTTCGCGGGGAAAAATTTGCAATTTTTTTCTGCTGAATGTGTACATTAATCGTTATTGACAAATACACAAAATGATAGTAAAAAACTTTTTTTCGGGAAAAATATGAAATTGTAGTATTTTTTACTATAAAGTGAATACCATAACAATAATACTAGTAAGTTTTTACTATTTTTCTATACTTTTTTTATACTATTTCGAGAAAAACTGTATTTTTTATATGTAGATATCTTGAGGTTCACTCGAGTAAGATACGAATGAGGCCCAAAACTTACCATGAGTATGTGTAATATCTGACCAGAAGACATAACTCTTAGTGACTAGTAGTTGGCAGAATTGTGGGGTGGTGTAGAAGAGGTTAATGACAACTAAAAGCAACACTGAACAACTCGACGTGCTGATATATCGATTAAGCGGGCGCGCGCGAAAGTTACGAGAATCTTTCAGATTTTCAACTTGTCGAAAACACTTGGATGTAAATCATTAATAGGAGTTTCACGTGTGAACTACTCCGTGTGAATTCAGAAACCTGCATCGTGTTTTCGCGAGTGATAATAAAATACTTTTTCACGAAGTGAAATGTGAAATATATTTTTCATATCACTGGGGTGAAACTCTAATATTATTAATAACATTGGAGTTTCACCCTAGTGATATTAAAACCTATTTCACTTCTCGGAAAACAACTGTTTTATCGGACGCGAACACATATACGCCACTCCATTTTCGCAGTAGTATTATTATGAATGTTGATGATGATGATGATGATTTTCAAGCAGTCTCTGTGGTAACAGTAGAGCACATTACTAAGGACACTACACTGTACCGGGCAAGGCCGATTCGGGAAAAATGTGGGAAGAAGCGATCAGGAAAATATTTGGTAGTGCATTTGGGAGGGAAAATTTTGTCATCGCCGTTTTTCACTGCAAAGATGCGTGTATATATATACTCGCTTGCTAAGAGTGAAACCGTTGTCGTGTAGTAGAGCAACACGTATCAACGAGTAGACTTTGCATTCACACTCTTCTGGAGTTGTGGCTAATGCTGATCAACACAAATTTTCGAGGGAAAATTTTAATTAGTTTTCGAGGGAAAATTTGAATTTTTCGGGGGAAAATTTGATTTTTTTCGTCTCCTGTTGCGATTTTTGGGGAAAAATATCATCTAGGGTATAAAAATAGCAAAAAAATTAAGAAATATTTACAAAAAAGTAGTTTTCAACTTCACCAAAAATTATTTAGAATATTTTAGAACCGAAAAAATAACTAAAAATTGTCAAGTTGTATTTCTGTAAAAATATTTTTCGTTGTTAACAAAATATCTCATTTATTTTTCATCTTTTTTCAGGTGCTTACCGCAATTATCGTAACTTTTCTGGCGTTAACAAAAAGTTTCAATTTGGAAACCATATTTTCGTCAACTCTCCGAGTGCCCTCAGGATCAACTTTAGTGATGTTGGCAGTTTTATTATTCACTTTCGGGCTGCTTATCTCTGCTCGGAATTCTACAGTTGAGGAAGAAAGTGTAATAGAAAAAGGGCAAATTTTTTATGTAATTTTTCCGTTTTTTTCCGGAAAAAATGAGAAATTTTTGTGAGTGAATCGTAAATATGCGATTTTATTTCGAATTTTACAGTATGCTGAATTCGGGGAAATTTTTTGGAAATTTTGTTGCAGTGCGTTGTCAGTTTAGGAGGGGGGGAGTATGCATATGGTCAACTACATGTGTTGGTGATGACAATATGTAAATTCTGAGAGGAAATTCTTATTGGTTTCTGTACACTTTTACTCGAGCTTTGGAAACTCCTGAGCTCAGCTGCTGAGGAAAGCGAACATATATTCATACTCCAACACTGTATAGGAAACTCCTGAGCTCAGCTGGTGAGGAAAGCGAACATATATTCATACTCCAACACTGTATAGGAAACTCCTGAGCTCAGCTGATGAGGAAAGCGAACATATATTCCTACTCCAACACTGTATAGGAAACTCCTGAGCTCAGCTGGTGAGGAAAGCGAACATATATTCCTACTCCAGCACTGTATAGGAAACTCCTGAGCTCAGCTGCTGAGGAAAGCGAACATATATTCATACTCCAACACTGTATAGGAATTTTCGCATTAGCAATTTGGTGGTGTCCTAATTATTAGGTATTGCTGGTGAAAGGCTTGGGCATCCAACTGCAGACGTTATATGCTGGTGGGAGTCTACGGACGGAATTCATCCAAATCAGCGCAGTTCGAGATGTTATTTTACAGGAAGCTGTAGTATTTCCAAATCGATCACGTGATCGATTTGTGTTATATCATCAGGTCTATGGTTTTCGCATTGTTACGTATCTCGCTATTGAAGTGGAATGTGATGGAGGCGCGTTTTATGGAGAATCTTTGCGCACAGCGAAGAATTCCAGATTGATATTACCGTTCGAGACGTTGGAAATACCAACGAGACAATTAGTGGAGGTGTAGGTGTATGAGAGTTACGAACATGTGTGGAAAATTCCGCGCGTGTTGTTTTTGAAGGTACTTTGCATTGCGAGAGCTGGTACCTCAAATAGCTGATAATGGTTCGACGGAGTTTACGGACTCGGATAGTGATGGATGGTCATCAGAGTGTGGTGATTAGTCGAGTAGGGAGAGCGGTGGGTTGTTAAGCGGATGGTCGCGGGTTCGATTCTTCCTGGAGGTATTTTACTTTGAAAATACAACCGAGTAGTACTCCACTAGACCTTCGTGACGAAGGGGCGGAGCTCACTGAGTCCACGTCCATGGACTCAATCAATGAA